GCGAAGTAAGCGTTTTGCAGACACTGTTCCGGTGTCCACCCATTATGACGGGTCACTTGTTCGTACTGTTGAACCCAGTCGTTTATGTCTTCGTGGCTTTCGCCGTGGAAGGGAGCCGGTGTCCGAGGAGCGACGGGTAGGTAGACGACAGCAGGAGCGGCGGGGGCCTGCGACTGGTTGTCCATCGTTGTCTTCTTCGGCTTGGATTTGTCCAGGAGCAAACCGTACTTCGGATCCTCTCCCTTGGTGTGGCGGCTGGTCCGAGTTTCAGGTTCCGCGCTGAGAGGTTTTCTCAGCAAGCTTGGAGTCGGGCTTGCACTGCGGGTCCTGGGAGGGGAACGCTGCACGGGCATGCGGTACCCCGCACCTCCACCAAAATGTCATGGGTGGTGACCAATAAACAATAAACAATAAATAAACAGAAAGAAATAAACGTTTAATGTGGCGAACTTGTGCCAAAAATAAAAGGGTACAAAAGATAATAACGGAGCGTCGCGGGCGTCGAAGTCAGCGTAGCAGCAGAGTCGAACGCTAGGCGAAAACTGACTGCAGATCAGCACGCGGAGTCCCTTATGTACGCGCGTTTGGTTCTAGAACAATCGGCCTAGATTGTTCGGCGACTGGAACATTCAGAACTCGATCTGACGAGAATGTTCTCGAGCTCACGAGAACGCAATGAAAGAACAAATAAAAGAGCATTCCACTGACTGGAATCGAACCCAGACTTTCTGCACGACAGTCAAGCACGGTAACCACTCGGCCACGCGCGCGGTCGCTCGCTGACTAGCGTGGCAATATTTGAACCAGACCAAAACAAACTATGTGGCACGGTGGTGGGGAAGTGGCACTGCGGATGCGGCACCTCCTCCGTCGTGTGTTCGTGCATACTTTCGTTTAGCTCGTGCCGTTGATTGAATATGTGCCAATCCGCTAACTCTGCTATAAAGTAAGTTTTTCTTTTTCTTGGACTCCTTGTTTGGGCATTGCATGCACTCTTTTCTTATCTTGCACATATGTAGGGTTCGGAGTTTTCGGTTTAAACTGATAAAAGTATGCCGAATCCATTTTCGGAAATTCGGTTTTCACCGAAAAAGGTCAGTTTTTAGATTCGGTATTTTCGATTTAAACTTTTCGATTTAATTCTGGAAAACGATTCGATTCATTCTGGAAAAATCAGTTTTAACCGGAAAAAATCACTTTCACCTTCCAGTCGTACCGCAGAGCCGCGGCGAAAAAGTGAAACGACGGTGTCTATCGAAACGTGTCCAAATGTATGGGATATACAGATGCCATCACAATGTTTTAGTTTAATGTGCGCATCATCGATCGGAATGTGAAGTCCGAAATGCCCCATGACCTTGCCATGTACGAACGTGCTTTCAAACTCGTAAGGAAGACTGACTTGATGCAAGCTCTACATGTTGTGTTGTGCCTCAAAACATTGCACCGTCTCTCTTTTGGTGACCACAATTGGTTAATTGACCAATTTTGGCTCAGTCAGCACTTCATCTCCTCAGCCTGCCAGTGTCCAGTGTTAGCATTGAGAGAGCATTTTCAAAGCTCAGGGTCATATTAACAGGAAAGAGTGTGGATCAACGAGGAGAACCTGGGAAAGTATGTGCGTGTGTACTGTAATAAGATCACATAATCCTGATGTGCAGAAGGTGAAGTTCCGTGTTTTTTGGGCATAGGCTTCATATCTGACTTGTCTGTACTTGCGTCTTTTTCTTGTTTCTTTTACAGTTGCAAAGATTTGCCAAATAAAGTGTCCATTTCTTTTTAATGTATTTGTGCCATTTTTTGAGTGATCACAAATATCAGAGCTACAAGGATCATATGATCCGGTATCCGCTGGTGTTTACTTTATACTATTCACTGAAATAAGCCGACAAACTTTTGTAGACATAAATATACGCAGAAAAAAAACAACGAAAATTGAATTTTTAAATAAACACCGAAAAAAGTATGCCGAATTTTGAAAAAATAGAAACCGAAAACGCGGAACCCTACACATATGTCACCGCATTTAAAAGGACCCACATGAACGAGAGCATATATTAAAAATATAATTTTTATGGGCAGTCGGAAGTTTTTAACGCTGTCTTGGCATTTGTTCGACCGACGCATCGATGTTCGTCAATCCTAGATTCCCGTTCTCGCTCTATCCGAATCCGAATTTGCTCCGCCTTGCAGCATTATGCTGTCATGGAGGTGGCGGAAACATGATCTGTGACTCTACCCACGACACCAAAATCTAAGCGAAATCAGTAGCCCTTTTTGTGCCGGACAGATGTGAAAAAGGGCTGCCGGGACAGTGTTGCACCTCACCCCATCCTTGCTGCACCGCGCACTACAGCTGTTGCATGCACACTATGGTTGCATGCCGAGTTTGTGGCCAGGGCCCATTGCAGCTTCAGCAGTGCTGCCATGCCCGCTCCTACGAAAGCAGTGCAACTGAGCTGCACTGCTTTCGTGTGCCACCACCCAATTCAGAAAAGTAAAAAATTACAGGGTCGCCAAACGTCTCTTTGCTGCGTGTTCGGCGGTCAACATCAGTGGTTTGGTGATTGTTGCGATTTATACTTTAATAATTTGATCAATTTTGTTCTGTGGAAGTTTGGACAGTGTGAAATTACTCTGCAACGAGTGCCCAGTGTCTCGGCTGTAGATGGCAAACTGCTAGTGGCGGTACGACCGCTGGCCTGGTGCCTTTAAATTGCGTCACGCAGCAGTGAGCACAAATTGGTGCCAATATAATTTCCATTTAGAAAAAAATAAAATGGTGGTGGAGTTGCAAGCTGCGATGCGCTATCAAACTCGTCCACCGTTCCCCCTTTTTTATAACGTGGTTGTCGATGTACAAAACCTAGTTTCTGATGTCGGTCATACTATATTTCGTGCTATACTTTTTACTAAAACACCTCAAATGTTGCGGGGGTACGCAGTATGCAACAGCACTAATTCGGTTTCGCACTGTCAATCTTTCATACTCAACTACTACAACAAAGTTACCTGTACTACGAAAAATATTGCCGGTTCTGCTGACTTCGTTATGAAGGCGTTTGACTGTAGTCGCGGGGAGAAAATAAAGAAATGGGGCGCAGCGAAGTGGTGGCGGAGCACGAGGCACTGCTGTGAACTTGAGCTGGTGACGTGCCCCGCAGCAATGAAGGGTCATGTGGCACATGACGACTGACGTGCGCCCCTTGACGCTCCCTAACCTGAGAACCTGACCGTGCCACATATGATCTAAAGCAGTTAGTGAAAGGTTGCCCGATGCTTTGACACGGAGTGTGTTATATGGTGAAATTCTCGCAGCTTCCGGTTCCACACTCCTGTTACCAAAGACTGTCGCACGAGCTGCAAGTTGTGTGCTCACTGATGGAACCCGGCTCTCGTCCAAATGCTGACACAGCACTTGCATCCTCAACCATAAAGGGCAGCATCACTGAAAGTTCGCTATCAAGATGTCAAGAACCAGAGCCAACAAAGATTTGGTCTGAAAGTCGCACATGGTCGTTTAGGGATCTGAATACTGGCGAGAAACAGCAATTTTTTTTGTTCGGAGGCTTCACCACAGTGTGTGACAACATCACGCATAAATTTCTACTTAAGAGCGTTATCTTCGAAAATGTAGAAGTCGCCCATTTGAAGTTAGTGAGCAACGCTTCCTTCAGGAGTGTCTGCTTCTTTATGGAGGCCTTCTTTCAGCTTCTTCCCCAGGTGGACATAGAGTCTAGGGATGAAGGCTTGGATGCCCCCAAAGGGGAATTTGCAGAACTTTAGGCACATGATGTTTTCAGGGCAATCTTGAATGAAGAAAGGTGCGACGTTGGGGGTTAGAGGTAGGAAGAATCGCAAGCATTGACAGAAGACAGGTTTGGCAGGGTGGCAAAAGTGATGCTGCAAATACTTGTCATACCCCATGGCAACGCTGTTTGCAAGCAGATCTTCAGCACTGTAAAAAAAAAAAAAAAAAACAGTTCCGCTCCTTGTTGTAAAACAAAACCCTCGGAGATCTTGCAGTAAAGGTCCACCAGTTTGGACAGTGCTACAAACAGGCATATCCTGGAAAGTTCTTGGGGCTGGCAAAGTCCGCAACACCCAAGTCATTAAAACAATAAGCCTGTGACTACTGCAGACATTGCTATGCTGCAAACGAATGAGTTTGTTTTTATGGCTGGCAAAATCCACAGTGCAACGGCGAAGTAACTCAACAAAGAAATGCTCCCCCTCCCCCCTTTTCTGTTAGTCTAATCTTGACATTTCTGGGTTGGCACATATCACTACCCTTGCTGGACTCTGGCAAATGACCTAAAGAAAATCCAGCACTATGAACTTGGTGAGGGCTATTCACACAGCAGCGTTCGACTAAGTTGGGTTGGCTATGTTCTAAATGTTACTCGAGGGGACTTAATTTACTCGAGTGGGTTATATCACGCGATGATGCAAACGGAGCAACATTGGACATGAGTAGATTTTTGAACACCAAGGCACATAACCTTTATTCTGGAGGGAGATAGAGTAGGCTTGGAAGACTGCTCAAGTGATAGAGCCTTCAGTCACTGGCACTTTCGTGTTCCGTCTGCTGCGTGTGAAACTACCCAATTGAAAATAACACTTCAGCCCTGATGTGTTTTAAACCCCTTCAGCCCATCAAACACCTCAGCCCATAAGACCTTCAAACCCTTTTAGCCTGTCAGACCCTTCAGCCTGCCGAGTCCCCTCAGCCCTTCAACCCATTAGATGCCCAAGTGACTGATATGTACGGTAGTTTTAAATAATAAAACGAGGCAGGTGCACCACACAGACACATACACACCATCAGTAGCACGTTTAGTGAACGTGCAATTAACATATTCATCGCCATTGTCTGTTGGCTTCAGAACCGTCTAAATCGAAGCTACAAATATTTCCTCCGACACTCCCAAGTCTTGTTTCGATGATGCGTGTGACCTTAGAGTTCATGGGGTTTTTACTAATATCTTGTTTGCTTGCAGGCTCAGGCCTCGAGTGCTGGAAGTTACTTTTTCAAGTGCTGCATTTGCAACAACATCGACGCCTTCCAGAAGGAGATGTTGGACCATGGCATCTGCATTCCCCAACAGTGAGTGACATCCGCACGCCCGTCTTCATTTATCGAGCTTTGGTCGAGCTTCGTGGCCTTACTGACCTTCTGACCCCAAAGGTTTGACTCTCTTTGTGAACCCCTGGACATGTAGTGTGTTTACTCCAGGCGTAGCACATTGTTTCAGTTGTAGCCACATTTTCTTTTTTACTTTAGTGCTTGTGTCACTGGTATGCTTGCAGTACAATTTTCCTTTGGGATTCTAAAATTCGCAAAACCTTAAATGACAAAAAAAAAGGATAAAGTCTTACTGGGTGTTTTGACTCTTGAAGAACTGTGTTGAGAAGGGAGAAGCGGCACTTGACGTTTTTTAAATTGTGGAGTGGAAACGGCAAAGGGAAGAATGTGGAAACTGCAAAGCAGCCAGGCTGGCTCACGCAAGTTGGTGAGCCTTTATTGATGACATTCATAATCAGCTGCGGTAGCTACCTGCAGCTTTTCATGTCCTCCCACGGCATGCAAGGAGCCACTCATTTTGATTGAACGGAAGGAGAGGAGGAAGACTATTGGTTTTACAAAAGTGCCATCTGTGCTCGAACCATCCGTGCGACACGAAATGTCCAGGAGCCTAAACGGCACTTTTCCCAATTCCCGACTAAGCTTTTTCGAACCACTCGTCGATGTGGATTCTCTCTTTAGACAGCCACGAAACCGAGCAGACGGAATTGTCGATGTGCTCAGCGCTTCGAGTTGCGTTTGCTTCGTTACAAAGGTTCCCTCGGCGCTTGGATGTATGTCTTTCCCGTCGTCACGAATACCGTCTTGCACGACAAAATAACCAGCAGTTGAAAACGTGCCACACAGGGATGCATCTTGGGAGAGGGAGCAGGGGGCTTACCAAGACCTGCTCTTTCGGTACCAAAGGTGCGACGCGGAGCGGTGCCGCTGCCCCAATGGACGGGAGACGTCGCTGGAGGAAAGGTAGCCCTTGTTTCTCCAGTCTTTTTTTACGACAGCCGTACGGTCCCCGGAACGTGTCTTTGCCTGGTTAGTCTCATTTCGCCCATGCATCGAAAGTGGTCCCGTGGTGGCCACAAATGAAGTCGCAAGAGCCGGAGTGTCGTACTCTCAAAGGTCGCAGTCCCGGCGGCCGGGCGTAGCAGTTACGGAAAAACAAAATGGCGTGAGAGAATGTGTGCACTGGGGTCGCATTCTCTGGACCGTCTAGTTCGAGGGTGACCTGTGGCGGAATGAGCGTTTGCCATGTCCGCCGCCGCGATGCGACCGTGATAGTGGTTGACGACGGTGGCTACGCTTCTGCGACGCGGTCGGGCGTAAATCGGGGGACCACATTTGTCGACGTGGTAAGCGCACTTTTTGGAGACATGTCCCAAGCACCGTAACAGTTCTTACAGGGACTTTCCAGCCACGTCGGCAGCATCGGCTTTGCCGGGCAGAGAACTGGGTGTCACGTGTGCCTTGCATGCGTGCTGTGCCGCACGGTGGCGTTAGGCAAAACGTACGCAAACTTGGCATTGTGGGGTGTCGGTGACTTCTACCTGATCTACAATTGGCAGGGGACACCGCTGCGTATTCCTTGCCATAGAACTCTGTTTGCGTGCACTAACCACTCGTAACGGAACCTGTCTCAATTTAGTTTGCAGCAGTGTGTTCCCTTTCTTATGCATTTCAGTGACCACAAGACTTTGTTGCATGTGACATGCCGTAAAATACCGCGAAAGTGCCCACTTCGTTCAACCGCCTGCTATCAACATTTCCCGAATTATACCTTAGGTGCCGGATTTGACCGGACAGGCACACATGTCTAGATTATTTATTTATTTATTTATTTATTTATTTATTTATTTATTATACCCTCAGGGCCGAAGCATTACAGAGGGGGTGGGCAACGGAAGTACAAAAAACGCTGAAAATGGTTAGTCTGGCACAGATCATGAATAGTAACTTGTTAAAGCTTCTTTAAAGAGGACAAAATCGCCAATGGACGCAATGGGTGAGGGAAGGCCGTTCCAATCACGAGATGTTTTTGGGATGAAAGATTTGAAAAAAGAATTTGAAATGGAAGTGGGTATACCAACTTTGCAGCAGTGATCGAGGCGAGAGGATACGTAGATGGGAGCACTGATTAGTTGTTCTTTCAAGAGTGAATTGGCATAGTAAATTTTATGGAATAAACAGAGATGGGAGATAGTGCGACGAGTGGAAAGAGGGGGCAGTGAGAGACTAGCTTTCATGGATGTGACGCTTGATGTACGATGGTAGTTTGATAATATAAAACGTGCTGACCGGTTGCATGTGACCTGTATTTTATGGTAGTAAGTAATGAGCAGATATATACAAAAGTGGGTGTTACCACACGCCATAAGGGTCGTCGCTGTCAATTTGTTTGTCGTAGTGAAGAGCGTAGCTGTTAGTCTTCCCCGTAGGGAGGCGAGCGAAACATGCGCTGTTTCATACTGATCACAATTTTAAATTTTTGATACGACTTCTTGAACTTTGCTTTGTTGGTCATGCGATGGTGGGCGATTTCATGAACTTCGACGAGTTCATGATCCTATGGTTAATGACTTGTACTCTGATGCATTCATGATGTAATGGTGAGTGACTTCATGAACTCGAACAAATTCACGATGCGATGGTGACAGACTGTAAATTTGGATAAATTCATGATGCGATAGAGAGTGACTTCGTGAACTCTAATAACTTCATGATGTGATGGCGATGGGGTTATGCGATGGCGAGCGAGTGGGCTCCCGTGTGCCGACGCACAAATGCTGCTCTACGTTTGTCGTCTGCAGTGGTGACTGGGAGGTGATCACCTGCAGCACGTGCGGGTCGCAGGGGATCCACAAGGCCTGCGGGAACCTCTCCAGAGAATCCTTGCATCGAACCAACTCGTGGGTCTGCGCACAGTGCCGGAAGACCCTCTCCCTGAGTGAGTCTGTTCGTCCCCTGCGTCGGCAAGTAATTGCCGTCGCGACGCTGACAGGCTTGGGACGGACCTTCTCAGAAAATCCCACGAGGCCTTCTGTCAACCTCGCACCGCGCTGCGTGGGGTATTCTGGGGCCATTCCGAGGTACCCTCATGTCCGGGAAGTGGCACGGCTCCCTCTCCTTCAACAGTGCAAGTTAAGAACACAAAAAAGAAACAAAGGGAATTTGTCGCAAAGTCGACATATAACCTGTTTCGTTATCGTTCTGCTTTTTTTACATTCGGGAATCGCAAACTGCCAAACAAACACAAACCATTCCTATTCATGGGTGCTCCTTCACGTGCCGTAGATTGGATTGCCGTAGTGCATTGAAAAGACGATGGGAGGAGTGTTTCCGGACTGATCCAATCAAGTTTGTCACCCCCACATTTGACTCTCGATAATTCGAAGCTCACAGAGACACTTAAACTCTTCGAAAACTTTGAATTTAGAAAAACAAATTGAACCAGTGTTTTTTTATTTGGCACTCGCTCAGGAGAAGTTGTTGATTTTTAATTCAAAAGCATTAACTGTCCCATGGAGCGAACCGACGTCATCAGCTTTGAAACCACGCCAAACGTTCGCCAAATAGCACCTAAAATCCCCTTTCCCAAGTGAAGACGATTTCTGATAGATTATTCTCCCATTGGCTGGCGTGCGTCATCAAGGAGCGAGCCTCCCATTGGCTCCTGTGAAGCGTAATTCCAAAAAACATCTCCGCGTGGTGAATGATGTTGATTGGGGCGAAGCTCTGATGGTGCTTGTCTGCGTAGGTGCTGAGCCGCAGCATGCCGAGCCTTTCGTTTGTTTTCATCCATGTCAAAAAGAGAATGTGTGGTATGGAACGTGATTATATACGCATTTGAGCATTTGACCGCAGCACCCTCTAGTCTATAGACGTTGAGCCAATGCATAGAAAGTTTAACGCGATTATATACGCATTTGACCGCAGCGCCCTCTCCTGTATAGACATTTGAGCGGCTACATGCAATGTTTCATCCATGGCATACCCAGCTCTTGAGTTACTACCACATCTCGGAGCCCCCTACTTGTCCCGCAGTCGTGGCCGAGTGGTTAAGGCGATGGACTAGAAATCCATTGGGGTCTCCCCGCACAGGTTCGAATCCTGTCGACTGCGCAAACATTTTTTCTTTTTTCATCATTTTTTATTTATTTTTTTTTTTTTTGCCCTACACGAGCATGTGAGCTCATGAGCACGAGCACCAGCAAGATTGATGTGATGACGGACGCTAAACGGACAAGGCTAGACCCTGAGGAGCTTCGCCTCTAAAAAAAGCCACCAGAGAAGCCCTCCATGGCGGCGCAGCGCATGCAGCGGCGCACCCGCTGGTAAGAGGAGGGAACGGTGGCGGCAGAGCCAGAGTCTGTCCGGGCAGTCTGCAGAGAGGCCGCACGGCTGAGCTCAGCACGGCCACTTCATGAAAGCACGCGCTCGGTCGTCCGTCGACGAAACATGACAGTCCATGCCTTTATGCTGCATACGCTGCAACGAACTAAGGGAGTGGAAGAATGACATTCATGCTTTCACATTCGCAACACATAGAAGTGCTTTGGTGTCCTTGGACTTTTTTATTGCCTCTGCCGTTGGAGACGTGCCACAGTACCGTGTTTACTTGAATCTAACGCGCACCTTTTTTCCGCGGAAATAGGTCCGAAAATCGCGTTTGCGCTAGAATCGAGTGCGTCCCAAAACTGCGCTACCGTATCGGCATCGACATTTCAAAATGGCTGCTCCATTACGCGCGGCACCGAAGATGCAATGCTTTGGGCCGCTGACAGCGATAAGGAGTCGTCCGACAACGATGACGAGTGATGCATACCGCCCCACGGGCGCTGCACCGGACCATCGTTGTGATGACGACCTTGTCGGCGAGAGACAGCGCCAATCATTTCATCGCAAGATTGAAGCATTTGGAATAAACCTTCGTTGTTCCAAGTGAAAAAAAGTTTCACTTCTGTATCCAACCTACAAAATCTGGTGCGCATAACAATCAAGGTCATCGCATTTTTTTGTTTTTTTTCGGACCTCGAAAAATGGGTGCGCATTACAATCGAGGGCGCGTTAGATTCGAGTAAATACGCTAACTGCTCTTGCAAATTGTAAACCTTGGGGGTGCTTTCTTCACCGAAGAAAAAGACTTCTACATACCCTGGCACAGTTTCTACGAAAGCGAACGACAGAAAGCAGTATGTTTGTTGATATCAATATAATGGGTAGACTAAACATCTCCAAGGGGGAGGTAACTTCTTAAGCCTACCCTTGTTGGCAGTGCGCACCACACATTCATGCTGTTGATTACTTCCGTAACTTTCTTAGAGACAGCGGCATAATTCACATGCTTGCTGCCGTGCGTGGCTCTGTTTGGCCGCTTAGATGACTTAGCGACTTAGGCAGCTTAGCCGTATGCCTCCCGCAGCGCGCTTGTTTGCTTTTCTCCAGACTGTTCAAACAGTATATACAAGTGATAAAGTGTGCATTTCTGCAGTTTCATCTCGGTCAGCATAATCAGGAGGCTCTTTCATGCTTTGAGAATTGCTCAAACTCTTGAGTGCACAAAAATATCTTTCGCATTAACCAGACACATAGGAAAAACTTGAAATTACTGCACGTTTTTTCTCGTAGACTTCTGCAGTCAAATGCCTTTATAACGAATGCCTCTACTACGAAAACATCCTTTTAAACGAAGTAAAATAAAGTTGCGGCCAATCTTTTATGTGTTAAATGTGTTTCTCCGACTACTACAACAAATTCCTGTTTGATCAGGCAGTTGTTCGGCCCCGCAAAGCTAAAACGAGCGGAAATACAAATTTTTTAGGTGAAAAGTTATCGATTTTATGTAATTGCAGCTCTCGAGGCACGCGTGGAGAACAAAAATACCACTGCAGAGGCTATGCCGTGCCGTATATTTTCAGATCCAAATAATTTGTTAGTGTGAAACCTAGTGTCTAGATGGCGCTACGTGACTACCGTAGAATACTGCGCATGCACCCGTTCCACATTAAACGCCCATCCCAAAAATTTCTAAGATCTGATAAAATATGCTCAATAGATTGATATGTAAAATTGATGACCGGACAAGCGCGCACCCTTCATTTTTTCGCGATTATCTCTAAATTTTGAGTGGCCACTTGTTCAATGTTTTACGGTATGTTGCTGCATACAAAGCCTGTACGCAGAATAAAGTAGCGTAGCGTCATCGTAAAGTAGCGTAGCTTCGTTGTTGTGTAGCATCATCTAGATACAAGATTGCACACTAACAAATTATTTTGACTTATAAACCGAGAATGCGCTATTCCCACGGTGCGACTTTGCTTGCGAATTCGCGGCTGCGACGTCGAGTGCCGCAGTTTCCCCCAGACTTTATTTGCCACACGGGCAACGTCGTAACTTCGAAATAGCAAGTAAAATCGCACAACGGGTATTGAGCCTAACTTCCCGTTATTCAAACATTTACGCAACAAACTTGACTGACTCATCAAGATAGGAATTGCAACAGCCACTAAACCACCAACATCGACCCCCGATCATCCGTCGAATGAGAGGCATTTGCCAACTGTGTAAGTTTGGCCTTTTTCGTAAGTCCGTCGTAAAGTGAAGAGGAGTATGGTGTGGGAGGAAGTGGCCATTTAGGGCAGTAACCTAAGCAGTAAAGTTCAGCGTCCATCGCGGCTGTGTCCGAGTAAGATGCAGAGAAGCGCCGACGTCACGTTCCTGTTAAACCGCACCTCATGCTCTTTATAGGACCAGGCACAGCGGCTGTGATACCACCCAACAGCCCTCTCAAGAGGAAAGGTGCCGCGGAGTCGACGTCGTTGGAACCCCCAATTAAAAAGGCGAAGGAAACCGAGCCGCCATTCTCTGAGAAGATGGAAGTGTTGCCGGCCGCTGCCACCCCCTGCTCCGGGATTCCACCTCTGAGCAGTTCTCCGTGCCCCATGATTCTGCCTCCAAGCAGTTCTCCATGCCCCAAGATTCTGCCTTTGAGCGGTTCCCCAGGCCCCGGAATTCCACGTTCGAGCGGTTCTCCATGCCCGAAGATTACGCCTTTGAGCAGTTCCCTGTGCTCCAAGATTGTGCCTGTGAGCAGTTCCCTATGCCCCAAAATTCCACGTCTGAGCGGTTCTCCATGCCTGAAGATTACACCTCCGAGCAGTTCTCCGTGCGCCAAGATTCTGCCTCTGAGCAGTTCCCCATGCCCCGGAATCCCACGTTCGAGCGGTTCTCCATGCCCGAAGATTATGCCTTTGAGCAGTTCCCTGTGCTCCAAGATGGTGCCTGTGAGCAGTTCCCTATGCCCCGAAATTCCACGTATGAGCGGTTCTCCATGCCCGAAGATTACACCTCAGAGCAGTTCTCCGTGCACCAAGATTCTGCCTCTGAGCAGTTCCCCATGCCCCGGAATTCCATATTCGAGCGGTTCTCCATGCCCGAAGATTATGTCTTTGAGCAGTTCCCTGTGCTCCAAGATTGTGCCTGTGAGCAGTTCCCTGTGCCCCGAAATTCTGCCTCCGGGCGGTTCCTTGTCGCCCTCTAGGAAGGCCGCAGGTGTTGCCACCTCATCTCCGCAATCCAAAAGATGCGACGACAATGACAACGATTCGGACATTGAGGTCGTTGCGGTTGTCCTGCGTCCAAAGCTGTCGCCGCTGGAGGTCATCATTCTGGACGACAGCGACGACAGCGACTTGGAAGACTTGTGCGGCTGCCCTCGGTGCTACAACTTTTGAGGTTTAGTTTAGAAACTGGCACTGTGCGGCTGGAGAACGTCGAGTTACCGCTCATCGCAGTCGATCCTCACTAAGATTTTGTATGTGGCTTTTGTGTGCGACGCCATTGTATCATACCAGTGCTTGTTCCCGCTTGTTTTTGACAACATATTATGTTGTGTGAAATGTGTGCTGCAGAATGTTCCCGCTATGTGCTGAAACAGACAATCCGGCCTTCTTCTGCAGGCCCCCCAATCTTTATTATCACTCTATTTTTATACTCCAAAGTAATCCGGCCTTCTTCTGCAGGAGGGGGGTTAATTTCCATACTACTCCAAAGTATGGAACCCCTCTCGAAAATTGGCAGGTACACCAAAGAAGCACGAAGGACTGTCTTAGCTCGTGTTGTCTGCGATAGTACGTTCTCGGCGGGAAGCCACCAGAAGGATGACTGGTGAGACACCAGTGCAAGCCGTGAAGCGGAACCAAGCACTTATTAAAAGATCATCTCATAGTTTTTAGTCTTGTCACCGGCTGGAGTTCTTGACTTGCTTACTTTTCTGCAAGTTATCGGTGGGTCCAGTGTTTCACGAAGCTTTATGTGATGATTGACGACAAATCGGGCTGCGGGCAAAATTATTGGTTCATTCGCGAGCTGCTTACTAAGCGTGCACGCCATAAGCGTGTGCTGTGTCTTTGGCGGCTCACATAGTGCGCGTGTCAAAGTGATCACTGGGTTATCAAGGAACAATTTAATCTTGTTAGATGCCGAACCATCACATCTCTCGGCCCTGGCCTTGTGGCACGGGATGAAGTCGCTCATGCCTCCTGGACGTGATTTTCGTGACGTCGATGCATTGCATTATCGGAAGACTGCACCTTGTACATCACATGTCCCACGCGTGACAGGACTCTGGCTGCTAACCATTTATTCCCCATGCTTCTGCACATACACAAAATCCACTCAAACAAACATCCTCTTTGGTTCACTCAACGCACCGCCGGCATTCACTCGAGTGTCGGGGTGAACCCTGTCCAACGGAGAGCATAGCTTCCGCCCGAACATCAGCTCTACTGGTGTCTTTCCTGTACCAGTGTGGGTTGTTGAATGCCGTTTAAACAATAACCTGGACACTTTTCAAGCCACTATTACTTTGTCTTGTTTTGAAGTGCCGTCTCGAGTTCACGAACCTTGCATTCCGCCCTACCATTACTCTATTTATTTATTTTAATACCCTCAGGGCCCAGGGGCATTACAGAGGGGGTGGACATAAAATATTGGCTCTGCATAAAATTCAAACAAGGCAACCTGGTTATAAATGTTAATATGGCATAATCCTAGCAAAAGTGAGTAGTTACAAGCTTTTTCTAAATAAATCTATTGATGGAATAGTTACTAATGATGCGGGAAGGTGGTTCTATTCAGATGACGTTCTAGGGATAAAAGAGTTGATGTAAGCAGAAGTTTCGCAATGAGGTATGCCAACTTAAAGTTTGGTATCAATGCGGGGAGAAATGAAGGGGGGGCTAATGAATAGTTTGTTTTTCAGTGAAGCGTTGGAATGATAGATTTTATGGAAAAGGCATAGACAAGATATTTTCTGACTTTGGATGATAGGGCGCACTATACATGCTTCGAATGCCGTTAATTTTTAGGTACTCCCACGTTTTGTGGCTTATAAAAGCCGTTCTATTATCTGATGCAACAAGTCCAAGTGGTCCGTACGACGCAAACAGTCTACACTGGCAGCTTTCTGAGAAAGTCTGTATTCTCAAGGTCCTGTGTGCGTCGGCATTCCAGGACACGTGTGTAAGCCGACAGCATCGGCATTCATCGCAGCATTTGTGGCGAGAGCACGAAAGGAATTTGTTTATGGGGTTTTAAAATGCCCAGCAGAGGTTTGTGTAGAAGGGTGGTGAGCTGGGCTATTTGGTACCGGTTACACATAATTAAAATCAGCGAACAACGTTAGGAAACTGTTGAAGAAAACAGAAGACAGGAAAGACGCTGAAAGAACAGGGTCATAGAAGAGAGGTTTGTGGTCCATTACCATTGAGAAGGGTCTTCCGCAAAGATACTGATGAAAATGTCGAACGCCAAACACTATAAACAGTGCTTTTCAATCAATGTGTGCATAGTTTTTTCTGTCTGAGGCATACCTTGGTTATCTCGATTTGGTGACGCTACCGCTATTTCCACCGGTGACGCATCGTACGACAACAGAAGTGGAATGTCCTTGATATGAGTCAGCAGAGGATCTGAAGTCAACTGCGTAAGGCCATCAATCGTGTTTTGATGCTTTGGATTCAACTCTGACATTGACCCGTTGTCTAGCAACCTGTGCAAAACTTCTGCCACCTCCGATTGTCTTTTTAAGAATCCATTATAAAGATTCACCATACATAGATGCGCTTGTAGTTCTTGTACGTAGGTGTGGGCACCTGGTGGATGGCTTGTACTTTTGCGTGGCTGTCAATCTGATGTACCAAAAACTCAACTGTCAGAGTAAAACACACATTTGGAGCAGTTTGCATGCAGTCCTGCCTTCGAAACCCGCATCGGGACCTTGGCGAGCACTTTGTAGTGTTCTTCCGTCGTCTTGGTGGTGATCAAGGTGTCATCTAGGTAGACTGCCATGTGCGAGAGGCCAGCCAGCACCGTGTCCATGGTTCTCGGGAACAGTCCTGGAGCCACGCAGATGCCATAGGGCAACCGCCGAACCTTGTAGAGGCCCTTTACTGTATTGATTCTTGCTAGCTCTGCTGCCACATCATCAAGCTGTAGCTGTTGGTAGGCTCGTGTTAAATCCAGATGGGTGAACACTCAACCATTTCCCAGCCTTGCGAAGAGTTCTATGTAAGTCGGCAAAGGATAAGGGCACTTGTTTGACTGCACTTCGGTGCTCCCTGCAGATCCGCAAAGATCCATTCTTCTTTCGCACCACTACCATGGGAGTGGCCTGCTCGGTCTACCTTGGGGGTTCAAAGGTGCCTTAATCTTGCAGCTTGTGCAGTTCTGTGCTAAGTCATCCTTGATAGTGAAAGGTACACTTCGGCATTTCAGGAACCTTTGCTGTGTACCTTCCTTCAGACCGATGCTAATTGGTGGTATTGAAGCCCCTGGAAAAGACTCCCTGAACTCGTCTGGGAGTTTGTCAACAATACTCTCTTGGGTGCTGGCATTTCGGTCCAGGCCAACTACTTGAATTCCCAGTACCGCAAACCAATCTCGGCCCATCAGTGTGCTTCCCTCGTTCGCGCATACGGTCTTCCCTTTGACTTAGACTGGTACCATGGCTTTCCCCAATACGTTGATGCCTTCTCTGGTCCACGTGACTAGCGTCATGTCCGGATCCTTGAGGACGACTCTTTGATGTGCCTTCAATTTCTTGAACTCGTTTGCAAATGATGCAAATGTTGAAGAGCTTCTTATGCTCGTGCTTAGAGCGTGCTTCAGGTTCAAACCGTTTTCTACCCTATGACTGGATTTTTTGTTGCCCTTTGTCTTGCATATTCTTGCCATGTGTCACCTTTTTGAGCAGCCGAAGCAAGTCGCGTTCTTGAACTTGCACCAACCTCGGTCATAAGGCAGCGATGACAGCGAGACGCGTCATTTACCTTTGTCGACTGGCTTCTGTCCTTGCTTGACGTGCTGACTCGAGCGGTCGCATTGTCTTTACTTTCTTCGGTCTGCTTGTTACTCGTGTCTTCCTGTTGTTTAGCTGCGACTTCTGCCATAACATCCAAATCATACGCAGCCTCAAAGGTCAAACTTTTTTCAGCCAGTAGAAGCTGTCGAACTACCCCGTCAGCAATTCCAAAAACTAAACTGTCGTGCAGCACGATGCAAAGTGGAAACTGATTTTCGTATAACCCAGAGTTTTCTGCAATTTACGAAGTGCCGTCATGTCGATTCTGCTTGGAAAAGGCATACCTTGCGTACAGTTCTGACGGTCCGGGGTTGAAATGGTTCTTGACTGCGTCAATGATGGTCCGGCATTTCACATCGGGCGGCTGAAGCGGCTGGACGAGCGTAGATATCGGTGATTAGGTTCCTTGGTTATAGCAACTCGGCAAAACTGCCCTTTTGTTGACATCAGTTATCAGTTTGTGTGCTGCACAACATAATTCGACTCATTCTGCATATTCATCTCAAGAAGAACCTCTGCCAAGATCAAACTCGCTGATTCGAGCACCAGATGTCACATGCATGCCGTGACCGCCTGCCATGTGATTGGCGCTGACATGGCACTTGTGCCAAAGTGACCGCTGGGTTATCGAGAAAAGGTTTAATCTTGTGAGATGCCGAGTCGTTACACTTTAAAATGACCGAAGATTCGTCTTTGTCTTTTACTTTCTGTAATAACTGCTTGAATTTTTTCATTCACTTCATTTCAATCATTCCCATTTTTTTCGTTCAAGATGCGGGTATGTGCATAATGTGACGTTTTGTGACTGGTGAACCGTCTAATAATTTCGGACTTCAGTGGAAAGAAAAAAGAAACAAGTAAAAAATGTTACAAAAATCCTAGTGTGTGTATGTTTATACAGCTTGAACTAGGCTAGAGTGCGAGCTCATAGCGTTGGCTGCTGCAGTTAATGCACGAGAGCGTGTGCCGCCGAAATCTGCCGCAGAGCAAAGAGCTCGCGCTTGTAGCCTTTACTGCAGTACATCGTAAGGTGAAATAGGGTATAGTCCATTACGGGTGGAAGTGGCCTGTGGTGGAGAAAGAAGAGAAGGAAGGCAACAGAACCGGCAGTGCGATCAAGACCCGATGGAGAAACAAACGACCCGCAACGACAGCGTGGTTGGCGGACCTTTGGTCTGTCGTCCACAAATACGGGCCTGGTCAGCAGGCCTCCAAGACTGCCCGTCCGCTATTTCAAGCCACTCCGGTCAAGCCATCCCGTCTGGACCACTACCCAGCCCCAACGTGCTGAACTACCTGGCATCAGCACCTTGGAGTGTCAACCCTGACCAGATTTCAGATCCCCTCCACGGACAGCGTGATGTACAATTCCTTAATTATCCTTCAAGTGCTATATTTTTCTATCTTTCTTTTTTTTTTTGTCTTTGTTTATTTTTTAGTTGTTTAATGCTTCAACATATTTTTCAACTGGCCCAAAAATGTTGTCTTTGTCCATACTCTTCGCATTGCACACCTATGCAAGCATGAGCACAGTTTACCACATTTCTGGCGTCTGTGAAAAGACTTGCTTGTAAAAACCAACGACCAGACTCGAGATTCTGCAAGGCAGAAGGTCGATCCTCACCATGGGGAGGAGGAAACAGACAACGGCAGACAGAATAGAAGGGGGGAGAGGAGGAAGCGGAGGAAAAGTGGAAAGCGCGAACTGGTCGTCGGTCTTTAACTGATAGCCTAAAGAGCTTCACCTTGCGGGTCAGAGCAGCCGCTGAGAATGGATGTCGGGAAATTAATGAGCGTTGGCAAGGAGTCGGGGTTGTCCGGGGCAGCGCTGAAACAATGAATGGATGTAGAGCGAGCGCACGAGCGGGACC